GCGGCAACCGCTGCAGCAGAGCAGCGGGCAAAGGTACTGGGATGGAAGTCATACTTAGCTGCCCCCTATGGAGCTCCTGTGCATCTGAGGAAGAAGGCGTTCGACAAGGCTGGACCCTTGAAGCGTGAAATGGGTTTGGAAAGTCGCTGGCTGGTGGGCAAGTACGTCGGATTAAGTTCCATAGTTCACCACGGGCATGTGGTATACATTCCACCAGAAGGCGAAGAAAAAGAGAAGTTTCTTCATACAATGCATGTTCGTCCGAACCTTGTGGATCCTGGACTACCGGGCGGTGATCTCAGAGTTGACACTCCGCCTAAGCCGAGGAGGAGAGTTCCGCATAAGACCGAGTCTAAAGATGTTGAAATGCGAGCGGTTCGGCGACTTACAGAGGACATCAAGGAGCTCGGGACCACTACAGCGAGAGAAATCTTGGATGACTGGTCACTGGAACAAGCACTACGGCTAGTTAACGCATTGGCTGATAAGGAGTTCTTCGAGGACCGGAAGTTTGGAGTGTTTCGCCATGGAGGAACAGTTGGGTGGCTGTCCGGAGTCGAGGAGTTTCCAGATCTTACAAAGGTCCTGACAAGGATTGTCCTGGAAGTCGATCCCGAGGCGACGTTTACCTCGGTGATGGTTTCGCATAATACCCCAAAGGTGATGCACAAGGACTTCAACAATGACTATGCGACAAAAAACGTCGTCATACCTGTTCAATGTCCTGATCGAGGAGGAGAGCTATGGGTTGAACTTAAACCTGGGGACGTGGTACAAGGAGCAATAGAGCAGCGGGACAATGGAAAGCAGCTTATCTATGGACAATTGCTACCGCTAGTTCCAGGAGAGAGTATCAAGTTCGGCCCCCAAAGGTATCATGAAACCTCATCCTGGAAAGGCAGACGGGTGGTGATCATTGGGTATACACCTAACTGTTTGGGGAAGCTGGGACAAAGTGATCTGGAGACACTACATGACCATGGGTTTCCCGTACCTCTATCACAACTTCCAGAGTATCATGGTGACCTACCTTGTGCCGATCAGGTACAATTGTCTACGTTGACAAAGCTTCGGGATGCACCAGATGAAAGACAGCAGTCAGACTGGTCGTTGTTTTTGGACCTTAGCAATGGAGTTGTAAAGATCGATGATGCTGCAAGGGATGGTGAGTATGGACCCAGAATTTACAAGACGGAGGTGAGTTATACTCCAAACATTGAGGAAGTCTTGGAACAGTTGAAGGGGCCACTCGACGTTACCCACACCGTGAGTCCCGATGAGGTGATGGCCAATTTGGAGCAATGGAGGCCCTCAATCATGAAGGAGCTTGCGGGCATTGAGAGCGCTATCGAGAAGCTTCCTCCGGGGACAGAAGCCAGGAGGAGATGGCTTAATACTCCGGGAGTCCAGAGACTTCCAATGAAGTTCGTGTTCACTGT